TCGATTTCAGCTCTTGTTCGTATTCTGTTTCCCTGTCTGCCTGGCTTGTTTGTCTGTAGATCGATACCCAGATAAGCAGACATCTAGTTAAATAGATAGATATACTTGTTGCGTACATGTAAAATAAATTTCAGGTACATCATTACCCACATACCTATAACCTATGCATCCCTACCGCATAGTCCTGCTAAGCCACGCGTGTTTGTTCTTCCGTCCGTCCGTTGTTAGCTGATAGCGAGAGTATCGATTATCTCTGTTTCTCTCACCCTCTCTCGATCCCAGTTACTATCTCCAAGCCCTCTCCCAGAGTCCCAGCCTCCCCATCTCCACATTCTCCCTTCAATCACGAGATCCGAATCTTTGAATCCCTTTCCCCTTGCCCCCGGCCACCTCCCTACGTTTCTTCCCTACCGGTACCGGTACCTCCCTAACGTAGTAAACTAAGCCTTTTCCCCCTCCTTCCTGAAACCAGGCCCCGCAGCACCAACTGCCAAGCTCGGATCCAGCAGATTCGCCGTCATGGTACTATGCGGGCCTTTCACTCCCCCGTTCCCATTCGTGACTGCAACATTCCCATCCACATTCCCGCTTTTCTTACCAAATTCCAATCCTTCCACAGCACTACCGGTACTCAACTCTGCGCCCTGTCCCGCCTTCGTAGGAAACCCTTCTAAGGCGGTGACGAATCTCTCTGGTACCGGTCTGCTCGCGGGAACTGGTACTCCCTCTTCTACCTTTTGAGCGGGTGTCGGATGCACGATTGGGGCTTCGGGCTGGGCTTGTGTGGGGACCAAGATGGCGGCTGCTTTTGGTTTCTCGCCATTGGCGTCTGAGCTTGGAAGAGATGGCTTGACGTCGCTGTCGACAGCCTGTGCGTCAGACGCAGCATTCGCGTTCACGGTGCCCGCCATAGCATGGCCGTTCGTGACGGCGTCCACAGCATTATTACCATCCAACACGTGAGTGACCGTGCACACTTCCACCTTTCTGGCCTTGCCAGCAATGCTGCCCACGCTCTGCGCCGTGATCTCCCGCTCCATTTCTACCTCTTCCCCTTCAACCGGCTGCCCTTTCTTGTTGGTCCAGTACATTGGGCCATGGGGAAAGTCACTCTTGCCCGCATTCCACTTCGTCACTTTGGCCAAGGCGGGATCTAGCAGGGGGAGGTCGCCAAATTCAAATTTAAGCTTCCCGCCGTATTTGACGGGGATGTTGACAGGGTCGATGAAAGACTCTAGCGTATTCTTCATCTCGGCGTGCGAGAGGATGAAGATCTTGGAGGTGGTGATGGGGTCGAACCATTTCTTGATCCAGCCCCAGACGGTGGGGAAGAAGGAGGGGGCGCCGATAATCTATTCGATGTTGGAATTTTTCCCTCTTATGCCCTCCACGCTATTCTCTCCTCTTGAAAATGGAATGGAAGAGAAGGGAGGCAAAACTTACGAATATCCTATCCAGCGTTTCGGGATAATGCGCCGTTGCCAGCATGCTGGCATCCTGCATATGTGCCCTCAAATTCCAAAACTGTTTCAACCCAACCCCCGAAATATCTACAATGTTATTACTCTGCGTGATCGGCGTCCTTGGGTGCTCTCTATCAGTAAGTGCTGTACACAGCGGCATCACAAAACGAATCAGGTTCTCATATAGTGCAAATAAACGTAGCATTTTCGCAGGCGTCCTGCCGTCGGTGCTGGCTTTGGAGGAGGTTGCTTTCGCCGCCTTCTCGTAGGCAGACATTTTTTTCGAGTTGAGATGCTTGATTTCAAAGACGTAGACCGGGATGCCGCGACGGTCGCGGCGGCCTGTCCATTGGGGGTACTATGTTACATTCTTAGACTGTGAAGCATTGAGATCCGAGGAGAAGAGGGAAAGTACCAATCTACGCGTCTCCTCGTACTGGTCCAGGTCGATGGTCTCGTAGAGGGTGTCTAGTTGGTTTGCCTTCCGCCAATCATTCGTCTCCTTGAACTGCTTTAACGCATCTGCGATTACGAAGCGACGGGCTCGCAGAAAACGGCTGGGTGTGATCAGTTTTGCAGCTTTTCGGGAGGAAGAGGAGAGAGAGGGGGGGGGAATGTACAGAAGCGTCGCATCGTCGTGCGTTTCTACCTCGTCGGCGGTTGCAGGTCTGTAGTATCCCTTTTCCTGGCATAAAATCTTGAAGTCCTTGAAAGCCGCCTGCTCCTCGTTGGAGAGGTGCCCCAGATGGCCGCGAGGATATCCGTACTCTACAGTCGCGGATTCGACTCTGTGCATAGGGCCTTCAGTTGCCATGGTGCTTGTGTGGTTTGGCAATTGCGAGGGAATTCCGTGTTCCAGCACTGTAATGTATCCAAGAGGAGTCTCGAGACTCGAGAAAGGAGAAGTATTTACTGTTTTCTCACTGAAGTATTTGCGGTGGTGAAGTTGCTTCGAAACTGCCACCCTTGCCTTGGGTCGGTCCTACGTCATTCCAAGTTTGCGAGAGATCTGATCGGTTCTTCCTTCAGTGATCAGGCTTGGTCATTCCAAATTTTGCTTGTCGTGGATCAATGTGGGCAGGAGGGAAAAATAAGGCTTCTTTTGGGAATAGAATTTGAACTAAAAGCTGACAAGATGACTGATTTCTTGCGAAAGGGGGCTGGATTGGATTGGATGGGATGGGATGGGATGTGATGGTGTGTGTGGGTAAGGGTACGGAAAATACGCTGCAAGTACCGGTACCGTAAGCAGCTTTAAGCCACCTCGGCTCGGCCGGCATCTTGCAGACCTGGTGGGAGAAATGCCGGGCGCCGGGAAAGGGAAACTCGAAAGTCCGAGAGGGCGAATGCATGAATGACGATCATGACGATGACGATGATGATGATGATGAAGGTGGTGGGTGATAGTGGGTGATGGTGGTTGGATATACCTCGAAGAAGGGACAAATCGGAATAGGTAATACTGAATAAGTAGTTGGTCGTGCGGATTAAGTTTAAAGCTTGTAAGTACCGTACAAGTACTACTAAGTACTGGTACTAAGTATTAGGTACTACTACGTACAAGTAGAGGCTGAGTTGTGAAACCCGGCCTTAAAGCATGAAAGTAAACAAAGGCATTCGGTAGGTAGTGGTACCGGTAGATACGGTACTCTACCTCTTCCCTACACTGCATATACGTATATATATGTATGTGCTTTTCATTTTCATTTTCATTTTCATTTTCATCTACTCTGTACTACACTCCCTACCCAGATATAGATATCCGGATATATGTGCCCAGTACCGGTACTCTCCTCGCGATCAAGCATCCGTGATCGAATCTGCAAGGTCCCTTTCACACCTGTCGGGCCCCCAGTCCAGTCCAGTCCCGTCCCCCGTCTCATCGATCGCCCGACAATTACCCCACCATCCATGCATCGCATCCATCCCCAAAAAATCCACCCTCTCTCTACCTTAACGCTGTACACACGATCGGAGCACACCTTCAACTCCACCTTTACCACCACCCCCCTCCCACCGTCTCGGTCCACCTTATGTTTTCACGACTCTCACAAATAGCACGACACTTCACTCGCCCCCTCCCAAACTACGCCCACCACTCGGCGGCAACAGCTAGAGCTACAGCTACAGCAACAGCGGGATTCCACCGCAGCGGCATCATGACATCATCATTATCGGCGGCGAGCAGCGATGCGAACGAGAGGAACCGCAGGACCATACACACGGCCGCGTGCCTGATTATCGGGGATGAGGTGTTGGGTGGGAAGGTATGTTTCTCTCTGTGAATTTCCACTGAAGAAAAGGATGGAGGGAGGGAAAAAAAAAAGGCAAAAAATGGGAGATGGAGATAAGGGGAATTTTGTGTTTTGTGGGGGAGGAGAGAGAGGAGAGAGAGGGGGAGAGAGAAAGAGAGAGAGAGGGAGACAGAAAGTACTTGTAGGCCGAGCTGGATGCACTGACTCTTCAATACAGACGGTAGATGTACGCAAACGAACTCGAATCCCCGTGGTAGACCCTCGTGTGAAAGAGAAAAGGGCAAAAAGAGAGCTACGAGAGAAGAGAGAAACGAATGCTGATTGAATAACTCGGTGCACGGCAGACAAACTCGGCGTACATGGCCAAGTTCTGCTTCCAGCTGGGCATGGTACGTCCACTCCATCGACCTATCTATATCTTTTCCAATCTCTCTCTGGATCCCAGCGGAATTGGGGGAATTGGCAGGGAGGGGGAGAGAGATTGTTTGTGATAGGATCCGAGGAGATGAGACTCAGGAGAGGTGATGCAGTGCTGATGCCGTCTGCACAAAATAACAGGCATTGAAACGCATCGAAGTTATTGCCGACGACGAGGACGAGATCGTGGAAGCCGTCAGGCGGATGAGCACTACCTACGATTTTGTAGTTACTAGCGGAGGCATCGGTCCAACGTATGCCTTGGCCCCTTTCCCTTCCCATCTATTATGATATATGTATATATATATATACATATATATATATATATATATACACACATGTTGGGCGTGCGTGATGAACGTACGGAATGGAATAGGATGGATACGTAACTGACACGATCCTCCAGCCACGACGACATAACCTACCAATCCATCGCAAAAGCCTTCTCCCTGCCCCTCATCCTCCACGAAGAAGCCTACGCCAAGATGAAAAAGTTATCCAAGCCGCACCCCTCCCAGCCGGATTTCTCCTGGGACATCGAGTCTCCCGCTAAGAAAGCCAAGCTGCGCATGATCGAGCTGCCGACCGACACTTCGCGCTCCCTGACCGATCAGGTTATATTTCCCCAGTACGTCCCGTGATTCCCTTCCGATATCATCTTGGAACATCTTCTCGGGTCTCATCTCAGCGTTGCAAGCGTTCTCAGCGTTCTCAACTTTTAGAATTACATGCGTGTATATACATAAGCTATTAACTAACCCACCCTTCTGACAGACCCGATCTCTGGGTCCCAGTCGCCTGCATCAACGGCAACGTGCACATTCTGCCCGGCGTCCCGCGCCTCTTTGAGCGCCTCCTCGACGGCATGAAGCCCATCCTTCTCCCACGCCTATCGGATCCAGAAGGAAAAGGCATCCACCGAATCCTGATATCGACACCGATGAGCGAGAGCGCCGTAGCGGGGTACCTGACGGAGCTAGCAGGGCGCGTGGAGAGCAAGGGCGTGAAGGTCGGAAGTTATCCACGATGGGGGAAGAAGCGGAATACAGTTACGCTGGTTGGGCGGTGAGTTCCCCTCGAGTGTTGGCGGGTCGGGTGGAGCAAGTGCTGATTTTTTTGTATACAGGGACCAAGAGTTTCTCGAGAGTTTGGTGGCGGAAGTTGAGCAGAACGTCGAGGGGAGGAGAGTGATGAGAGAAGGGGAGGATGACGAGGAGGTGGCCAGCAAGGAGTCGTAGATGGATGAGATGGGAGTACGAAGTAACGCCTTGAAAATGGGTCGATATTACTTGCAATTGTATCATCCGATCCACGCAAAAGCCATCCTCCATCTTTCTTCTCTGCTGGTTCGATATTAGAAGACTCATATGAGCTCGCCTAAGCAAGCGAGCGCGCATCAGAGCAGAGTGAAATTTCAAGCTCGCTTTGGTATTACGTCAGCTGCTTGCCATTTACGTCAACTCATCTTACCAGTACTTTTCCTCCCTTCCTCCCTTCCTCCTTCCTCCCTTCCCTCCTTCTGAGCGACGTGGAAAGTCGAGAGTCGAGGAATGGAGTATGTGTTAATTACCTCTCTACCCAAACCACCCAAACCACCCACCCCCTCTTATTAGGTACCTGGCCTGTTCTCGTACGAGTACGAGTACGAGTTGCCGCACTGTGACTATAACTTTTTGAAAGTCCGCCGGATATTCGCTTGATGTTTTTTTATTTTTTTATTTTTCGTTTATATACTATAACGAGACAACGCCGTACGCGGAAGTAGGTAGTTCAAAGGTTGGTTGGTTGGAGGGTCACACTAACGCCACGCCACGCCACGCTGCTGGGCCTGCTGCCTGCCGCTCCGTACGGAGACGCGATACCGGTAGTAGAAGCCTTTCCTACCGTATCCGTAGAGCATACTCCGCATAAATCTAATGGCGGGGGAGAAAGATGGCGCCTTTTCGGAATATCGGATTTTTTTTTATCTATTTTTTTTTCCCCATCTTGTTTGAGTTTCTCCTGCTGACACCGTGTGACAGTTAGACTGGCTGCTTTGAATTTTTTCAAGCCATCCTCACAGAATATGAAAAAAGGCAGCACGGGAAGGGAAGTGAAGTCCACGTTGACGTTGCCGCTTGCCGTACTGTAATTTTTGATAGACGCCACCAACACCTACCCTAGACGCCCTATCGAGAAAGGGGTCTCACATCAGATAAGACAAAGAGAGACGTTGACTCCTCTCCACTCCACTTCAAGTCATCCTCTCCACTCCAATTCAAAGCGAGGGAGGGATTTTGAGAGAATGTTGGTTAGCCCAAAGTGCAAAGAAATCGAAAGGCTCATTGAACGGTCGTCTTATCGATATATCATATATATATATATATATATTGGGGGGTAGTCGATCGGAAATTTGGTACTGTTCTAGAAGGCGGCGACGGTGGTGCGAGCAGAATGGCGGGGTTACATTTCGGCAGGGCAGAGACAGCCGTGCAGGATCAATATGCTGCTAGTATGCCCGTGAGGTGTGGTAAAGCATCCTCAAGATACTGTTTGTCGAAACCGGGTACATGGAAATGGTGATTGAAAGTCCGATGCGATGCTGTCCAAATTCCGTGAAAAAGTTTCAAATCGCGCAGAAGCTTCCAATCGTTGCCCATCTGCGAGATTCGGACCGGGTGAGGTATATACTTAGGGGATGTTTAGCCGAGCATCTTCAATCGGGTGAAAGATTAACCTTAAAAGGCCCAAGACTGCAGTTGAATCGAGTGGTGATAAAGGTTCACCGGCAGAGGCTCGGTATTCCTTGATATGTATATATATGTTTTTTTTGGTTGGACCCTTGGAGAAACAGAGGGAGCGGGAGAGAGGGAGGGGAGGTTGTTGACTTGAAAGAAATGCGGTCTCAGATGATAGGTGGGCTTGAGTCAGAAGCAGCCGGAAAGTCCGTAGGAGAGTTTACTCTCCGAGCCTCGGGATTTCCAAGGGAACCTTTTCCCGTACGGAGTACGTACGGAGTACGTATGATACCCCGAGTTTCAATGAGAAATGGGCGATTTCGCTTGACTTGAGTACGGCAGCAGGCCTCTCTCGCCATGATGCGATCGTAGTCGCGTGCTCAGCTCCAGAAGGCTCAAAGAACATGCATCGAAGGCATATCCCTTGCACCTCGGGATAGAGGTGAACTGGACTGGACCGCAGAGTGGACTGTGATTGGGAGAAAGGTAAATAAACAGCTGCAGCTGCCTAGGATGTTTATTATGCCGGGGGTTGGGGGGGGGGTTGGAGTTGGGCGTCTCTGATTCCATTCCACAGGAGAGTATGGGCCTCATGGTTGGATGAAAGATAGAAGAAGAATCATGGAAGAGGAGTAATGAACGAAAAAAATGAAGATGCAGATGCAGATGCAGATATGCGGATGCAGATGCAGGATGAAGAAAGAAAGAGAGGAAGAAACAAAGTAGTAGTAAGAGAGACAGAGGTGCGCCGCGCCGCTAGTGCAAGCGCGGCTAGCTAATACTAGGTAACTAATAAGCTTGGGCAATGCTCGTGGTGGGTGTCGAGGAGACGGGCAGTAGGTACAGTACGGAGCGAAAGCTCTACTACGGTGACCCCCTCCCCCAACTCAAATCAATCAATCTACAAACTACATCTCTCTCCAGTCCGAGCACCCACCCAAGCCCGTCCTCTCTCACTCTCTCTCCCGCTCTTCTCTCTCTCCCTCTCTCTCTCACACACACACACTCTCTCTCTCTCTCTCTTCATCTCTCCATCTCTCCCTCCACCTTCTTCTCATCATCTCCCACCCATCCGCCCATCCATCCATCCAGCCGCCAACTCGATTCCCATCTCACCGTCAAATTGTGTCCAGCCCTGGCTCCCGAACTGGTCGTGGCGCCTGTCCCTGTCCCTGTACCCCCGTCCCGCATTCTATCGCCGGATTCACTGCGATTGTTGATTTCTGGCGACTCCCAATACCAACGTCCTTTTTCTCCTTGACACAGCACAGCATACTCATCCCATCCGCAGGCGACGATATACCCTTGGACATCAATCCCTTTCTTCGACCTTCGCTTGCCTTACTTGTACTTCGCAAAGCAAAGATCACCCCCAAGCCCAAGTCCAAGTCCAAGTCCAAGTCCCAATCCACGCAAGCTCCCCAGCCTGAACTATCGAACCGCTGTCGTTTCAGCAACTGGAATACGCGCCGGGTCGTACTCCCTCCCGTCGATAACACTCCCTCCAGTCGATGAAAAGAGCATAATCAACAATCCCGAATAGAAGCAAAAATGGCCTCAAAGGTAAGCCCGTTACGAGATCAACACGCCAGCAGCGAGCCACGAGCTGGAGCCCTTGGCTTTGGCTTCGTCCTACTCCCTGTGGCACATGGCATTGGCGTGTGGTGTGCTGCCGCTCTGTGCTTGTCAATCGAGTGCTGATCAATTGTTCTACCGTAGTTCTTAAGAGAGTACAAGCTCGTTGTCGTAGGTGGAGGTGGAGTTGGAAAGTCTTGCTTGACGATCCAGTTGATACAGAGCCATTTTGTCGATGAATATGATCCGACAATTGAAGGTACCGCTCTCCCATCTTCCTCACTCATCCCATTTAACGAAATATAAACTAACATCCCTCAGATTCCTACCGCAAGCAATGCGTGATCGATGAAGAGGTAGCGCTCCTAGACGTTCTTGACACGGCCGGGCAAGAAGAATACTCCGCGATGCGAGAACAATACATGAGGACAGGCGAGGGTTTCCTACTTGTATACAGCATCACAAGCAGGCAGTCCTTTGACGAAATCCTGGTTTTTCAACAACAGATCCTCCGGGTCAAAGATAAAGATTACTTCCCGATAATCGTGGTGGGCAACAAGTGTGATTTGGAAGGCGAGAGACAAGTATCAAAGCAGGGTACGTCTCCACCTGTTTTCTCCCTATGCTGGCAGGGTTTTCGGACGCTGCCCCACGGCTTAATGCTAATAGTGATGCTATTTACTTAGAGGGCGAAGCACTAGCCCGCTCCTTTGGCTGCAAGTTCATTGAGACATCCGCCAAATCCCGCATCAACGTTGACAACGCTTTTTACGACATCGTCCGCGAAATCAGACGCTACAACAAGGAAATGGCCGGCTACACAGCAGGTGGCGGCAGCGGCGCAGGGAGCGGAGGACCATCGGGCAAGATGGAGGTCAGTGAGGGTGAGCAGAACCGAAACTGCTGCTGCATAATCATGTAATTTGGCCTCCTAATAATGCGCTGGCGATTGTGGATGCTTGAGGCATGAGTGGGGTGGGTAGGAGAGAAATGCATAATGTGGGGATCTCTCGGCGGTACGGAGCAATAATGTCTGCGGGGATGCCAGCCGATGCTTTCTCGCGGAACGACTGTGGGGAGCATTTGGAGATGAGCGGACGGATGATTAATTGCGTACTATACCTCTCATCGTTCCTACACTTGAGGGGATGGCAGAGGCACGCATGGCCCTCTATAGGGGGGCATCGAGCTGGGTGGTTCTTGTTTCGGGTTGGGTCTGAATTTCATTTATTTCCCAGCAGCAAGCCAACACAGTTACGCAGCCAGAACCAAAAACAAAAAAATCTATTTCGAAAGGCCTTTCTGAACGCCAACACCCGCCAGCACGGCACGTCGACGGCGAACGACGATTGAAAGCTCTTCTCCTCCCGCGCTTGCTTCAGTTCTTTCCCCTTGGGTTGTCGAACCCACCCTTTTATTACGAATTCCCTTTTCTTTTCTTTTTTTTTTTCTTCCGACGTGGTGGCTGTGCGGGCCAGACGGGTTTCTCACTTCTCTGCAGATGGAGAGGAGTGGGGAGTGAAGAGAGGAGGTGATAACATTAAGAGGAGGGACGAGAAGAGAAGAGAAGAGACGGGACGGGAAATGGAATGGAATCGGGGGGGAGTAAAATTTAGGGGAAGCTAGCTGGAGAGGGAGGAAAGAGGACGGACGGAGTACCGTACCCGTGTCATCTCTGTAATCTTCTTTTTCTTCCTTTTTTATTTCCGTGTGTGTTTGTATGTGTGTGTGTGTGTGTTGCTGCTGCTGCTGCGGTTGTTATTGTTGTTGCGATTGTTGTTGGCTAGCTTCTCTTATTAGATTGGCATAATGGAGTTTTTTATTTACGTCTTTTGTCCTTGGATTGTTTTCTTACCTTTTTCTCTTTCATTTTCTTTTCTTTTCTTTGTCGATTGGGTTTGAATTTGATTGTGATTTTGATTTTGGATTTGGATTTGGATTTGGATTTGGGGGTGGACCTACTGCGACGATATGGACCGGGACCGCCTTTCCTCGGTCACATATACTCCCACCCCACACCTAGACGACGAAGATCAAGACGAACACCCATTGTTCAATCATAACTTACAGCAAAGCAAACGAAAATCATCGAAAACCAAGGCCCTGCTCACCAGTTCCCCGCCCATTGGCGACACAGTTTACATGCCCACACCCCGGACCTGGGTTCCGCTGCATTCTGGTAACAGGCAACGCACCGAGCGCCAAAGCCAGTCCCTAAAACCCCAAGTCGGATAAGAAGCCTGCACGATCGGAAGTCAGCAAGTTTGCATAAGAACGTCGTCGATGGAACGCAACGGCTAGCCTTACTCTTCTGCTTGGAGGATGGCGCCCTCAACGCGGCCATCTATCTGTTCCCGGTGAGCATGGCACAGCCAACTGTTCATCCTGCTTGCCGTGCAGTTGCACTGAGGCCGGGTCGCATTAGCTGCTCTCGCGGAATTCGAGCAATCAACACACAGCCATGACTTAGTCCTTTCGATCTCGCGCTGATGACGATCCATGGAATCTCGCAGCTGGTCCTCGTGGCACTCGTGGCAAGTCTGCATCGGTATAGTCCTGTGTCGCAGGCTCTCCAGGGGCTCAACCTCGCACTCCTTCGACGGGACTTTCCCGCACGGTAACCCGCTGTTGCCGTCCGAGATCCTTCTGAAGTAGTCCTCTTCTTCCGAACAGGGCACGTCTTCCAGATCCTGGTAGGTGAGCGGGTTGAGAGGCCGCTCGTTGTTGACGGGATCGATCTCCGGGAACGGCCAGCGGAATGCCCCCATGGTGCTAAGACTGCCGTCGTAGGAATACGTGGCGAATGGGGCGAAAGGATCGCCTGGGCGGCGGTTGTTGACTACTGTCGGTACGGTCACGTTGACCGTGGCAAGATCGAAAGGTGGGTCTAGGAAGACACGGGAGGGTCAGTCAGAAGGGTTTTGAAGGGTATACTTGGACGGAAATGAGACATCTCTGGAATGGGGAAAACAAGGGCATTCTTTCCGCTACCTACCAAATTGTTGGCCGTGGAACTGGGTTGGACCATTTGGATCATCCTGCGCTGCTCGCGCTCGGAATGCCCACGAAGCTTCCCCCACTTGCATCTCCCAGAACGGTCTGTACCATCCTTCTCGCTGGTTTCCGCCGAAGCCTTCACCGTAGGCGACACCTCCAACCGCTCTCGATGTACGATAGAACGGCGTCGTCCTCTCTCTGGGATGCAGATCATGGTAGCCTCTTGGTGCGTCTGCGACTCGTGCGAACGGGTTGAGCGTTCTCGCTTGGCCCGGGGGGAGCCGAGGGCTATCTGCCACCCAGTCCTCCCAAACGACATTCATCATGTCGTCAAAACTGTTGATCCCAAGATTTGGGTTCGCGGTATGGCCGTACCCGTTGTCGGGAGGGAATGGGCCCAGATGATGGTCATGGTTGTTATTGTTGAAGCCCCCTGGTGTGTAGACTGGGGACTGTGGCGGTCTCGAGGCAAGATTCTGGAGAGGTCTTGCTGGGCGAGCTCTTGCTCGAGGCGAGGCACCATAGAGATCCTCCGGCTCGAAGGGGTTGGACCCAGCACGTGGCGATGCAGGAAAGAGATCCTCCGTGTCGGAGTCGGCTATCTGCAGCATGGCGCCTTCTGGGCGTAGATTTCCGCCGGTAATTTTCCCGACACCGGACATTGGGGAGTCTTCATCGTCTCCAAGTCGGTTTCTGCCGTTGTCGTACATGGACAGATCTTCGTCGTCCTCGGCATCATCCCCTTCTCCCTCGTCGACCGACTGTCCCGGGTTCACGGGATAGGCCTTGCCGTCCTGCTCTATACACTGGGCATTGGCTTTGCTGCATCGATTGCAAGGTCTTTCGTCCCCACACGGTCTCCGCAAACGCTTACACCTCTCGCACCGCCCGAATTTATACGGTCTCGTAGGCTTTCCCCCGGCAGGTGTTGGTTGAGGCTTGGTGGCCACTTTCACCCTACTACCTCTTGTTCCCGTACCAGTACCCGCTCCTGTAGCCCTGATCACACGATCTATCTCTTCGCAGAGGATGCCACGTCTGAGGCACTGGTCGCAAGGTCTTGCATCGTTACACCTCTTACGGGACCTCTCGCACTGTTTACATCTCGGCCCTGTCAGACGGCCTCTCCTCCCTCCGGTTCCTGGGGGATCGTTCAGCCCTGGCGCTGCCGATGGGCCTTCTGACGACGACCGTGATGAACCTTCCGGGCTAGCGCTTCTACGTCTGGCAGGCCTGTCGTCTCTCAGAGCTGCTCTCCTAATATTGCTATCGCTCACCTCGTTCAAACGTCCCCGCGACCTTCCTCTCCATCCGCCCTGGACACCACTATCGGCAGGAGTAGCGACGGAGGAGCTCCCAGTTGCTCTCAAATTCGCAGCAGCCCTTCCTGCTGCAACCGTAGGAGCAGACGGGCCCGGGCCCGGGGGCCCAACAGCAGTAGGCGCATAGCCCAGAGGCTGGCCATTTGCTCTCGCAACCCTGTCTTCCTCTCTGATCCGGTCTTCCCACCTCACAGTCGGAACGCCATTCTTGCACTGGGCCGCCACAGCCGGTCCGCGCCTCTCACATTCCGAGCACGGGTACCCAACGAGCCCCACGTTGCAAGTGCGCCTGTCGTCACAGCACTTGAAACAGCGATCGCTGGGCGGGTTCGTCCGATCCTGCCCCGGCGCGTTCCACCATGAAGAAGGCACGTGCAGAAGACTCTCTCTCCTGTCCTTGGGTCGTCCCCTGACGGCCGGCGTGGGCACCATAACAAGCGGCACAACCGGCCGAGGTAGTTGCGGTAGCGCTATGCTGCTGCTGGGCGTGGCTACAGCTGCTGGAACCTTCTTGCGGTGGATGCCCCTTGCTAAGGGAGGAAGGCGGGGAGGGGAAGGCGGTGGCGCGTCCTGCGCCCCTTCCATCTCCTCGTCATCTTGCTCGTCTGTCGCTTCGGTGTAGTTTGGCCGGCCGAATGGCTGCTGTGGTCGCAGCGACATGGTTGGGGGCTCAGATGGTACAATGGCTTTCTTCTGCGGTATACCTCTGGGGCTAAGCTATTTTTGGTTTGAGCTAGGGTATGTGGTGTCGCGAGGGTGAATGCGCTGGCGCTCGCGCTCGTGTATCGCGACGGATTGACCTGCGCTGAATGCGATAGGTGCGCAAGATATGGGCGCGAAAGAACAATGCGCGTTGGTTTTCTTTGTATAGCTTCTTTCGGCCGTTGTGTGGTAAGCGAGAATTGGCTTTGTCTACATCCCGGATCGGGTAACCTCGCTTAAATTGGGCTTCATCACCACGGAACGAGATGCCGAAATAGGGTCCCCAATCGGCAACAAAAAGAAAGCTGGACTCGAGGATGAATCTATGCTTGTACTACGAACAGCTAAAGAGGTTTTGAATGATCTACAAGAAGCTAACCAATGAAAAGAAAAAAATTACCTCCCTCTAGATGACTCTCCTCGACACTTCTTCAGTTGTACACATACTCTCTACAGAGCTTGCACGACCACACCCGAGCCTGCGGCATCGAAAACCTTTCAAAGCAAGCAGTACACCGACTGTTCTGACCATTAATCAAGATCCCATTCCTGATCAAATAGTCCTCTGACGCTGCCACAAACAGGTTGAAATCCTCTTCTCGGACAAGAGCTTCGCGATGATAACTGCAGACCCAGCGACACTGCAACGAAGCCATACACAGACACAAGCCCCTCCAGGCCACATTCTGCGTTCTCGCCTTGTTCGCGCAAACCCCACACAGATACATCTTGGTCTGCTCCACCAATTCCGTATAGCGCGCCGCAAAGAAGGCCTCGAGAACATCGCGACACGGCTTGCAACTGTGGAACGGCTCCTCTATGTGACGCAGCGTCCGCTGGGGGTAGATCTCCTGCGGCTCGTTGACCTCGCACTTCTTCGTGGGCACGTTCCCGCACTTGTCCAGGTCGAAGTCGACGAAGGGGTTGTCTCCCGTCAGCCGGAGCTCGTCGCACGGCCGCTCGCTGTCCAGCCCGTACGTGGGATCGTGCACGTGCGAGTCTGCGATCCGGTCGAGGCTGGGCCAAGGCCACTCCGTTGGCCCGGCGTACTCGCTCCGTTGTCGCCCGGCGTCGTCATATACGTAGCTGGCCCAGTTCTGGAGAGGCTGGTTCACGGCTACGTTGTTTGCTGCCGGGTCGGGTCTCTGGATGCTCTGGGAACGGACATGGTCCCCGATCTGAGATGCGGGATACTGGTTTTCGGGTCGGTATGGCACCGGCACTGTAGCAGACGACCCTTGCGATGGTCTTGGCGGAGCTGCTGCTGCTGCTGGTAGGCGACTGGGGGTCCACGTCTGCGCCGCCACCTGGTGTTCCCAGTCTGCTCGCTGCCCGGCCTCAATGTTCCCGCCGAAGCCGTCCCCGTTTTGGTTGAAGGCATGTCTCTGGGCTGCAAAGGGCTCTTCTGCGGGCGGTGGCGCAACGCCCGTTCTGCGGAAGTGGTCGCCATTGTGCGGGGGCGCATTAGGATTGGGGAAAACGCCGGGAATATTGGAATTCTCCATGTCAATGTCGCCATCGGGGTCGTGACGGGGAGGGGCAAAATCATAATTGGGTGGCGGCGGTTGTTGATCCGGATATGCTTGATTGCTGCGAACGCAGTATGTGAGATTCTGTACGCAGTTCTGACAGCGATCGTTGGCGTCGCACTGGAAGGATACGATCAGTATTTGTTATCGTTTTCGAGATTTCTAGGGTACGTACCAACGCTCCAGTTATACGGCAATAGTCGCAAGCGTCAACAGCTGGGGGCCCTGGGATTGGGGGGGGTTGCTGTTGAAAAGGCGATGGGCTCGGTGGCTGTTGAAAAGGATTTGGGCCCGGCTGCTGTTGCAAAGGCGTCCTTGCCGGCTGGCGTTGCGCAGCTGGCGGAGCAGGCCTCGGCCGGTTGGATGCTTGAGGTCGTCTCCGAGATGGTGGCGCCGGAGGGTAACACCTCATCCTATTATCCCTGCACCTCTGGCAGGGCCGGTTCGCGCCATCGTTGCAAGGGACGGACTCATCCCAGCACCGCTGACACGACTCCTGCGGTCTGTTCGCGCGGTTCATCACCGCCGGGTTCTGGGACCTGGGCCTCGGGAGTGGACTTCTGCTTCTCGGGCGCGGGTTGTTTCTTGACGCGGGACCAGAGCGTGTTCTGCCCTCTTGGGCGATCCTGTTGGCCGATGCGGTGATTCCGGCTGCGCTTGGGTAGGGTGGATCACTGCGCCTACGAGTTAGCTATGTTTTCTCGCCGACTCTGTTGTCTCCGTCTCTGGCAGTGTAGCTAGCTGGCTAGCTGTAGCTGGTCGAGAAAGCTATATATCAGGAATAAGGAAAATGAGTGAGTGCAATGTCTACTAACGTCATGGATGGTTCAGCTGCGCCTGGATACATCCGGGGATCGTTTTCCCTGAAGGCTTGATTCAGCTCACGCGAGCTGGCCTGGTCGCGATTTATTCCCAGGTAGCTCGCAGCCATGGCTCTACCCGTGGGAGTGTTGTCGTATAGCCCGTCGCCGCGACCTGCTGGGTTGGGGTTTCCTATGCGCTGGTTTCCCCCCTGTGGCTGTGGAGCCAGATTCGGGGGGTAGGCCATCGGCGCGTTATTCTGCGCTGCAGCTTGGTCTTCTTGTCTTCGATCGGCCTCCCACCCCACTGGATTTGCAAATCAGCATTGATTATCCGGACGCCCTGAAGGCCGTGTCCCTTGCGAGATCATGGCTTCAACGGCGTCTCTTTCTCTCTCCGGCTGATGTTTTTGGAGCCGTGCATGGAAAAGCGGCAAAAAGATGGGTAACTAACTGGTTGGACAGCCATTTCTACATTCGTCTGCCCGGTTCAGTTCTCTGCACCGGGTACATGGATAGCCGACCGTTGCGAGGTTGCACTGCCTGTGACTTCGAACACAGTCATAGCACTTTGTTGCGCCTGAGTGTGAGCAAATGTATGTGTGTGTGTGTGCAGTGTCATTCTTCATCTCGAACACTTACATGGCTACTGGGCGGGTTCGTCCGTTCCTGACCCGCCTGGTTCCACCACATGCTCATAACATCATTCAGCAAGCTCTTCCTGTCATGACGCCCGGCCGATTGGGGCGTCGGTACGATATCCGGGGGGACCATGGGCCGCGGCAGATTATTCGGGGCAATCTGCTGTATGGGAGGTCTTCTCCGCGGGGTGCGTCCCGCGCCGGGTGCTGGTCCCGGTCTTCTTCTCGGCACCTGGGCCCTCGGTGGTCGGGAGACGCCTGCTGGGATCCGATTTGATCCTGTGATCACCAGGTCATCGTCGTCGTCATCATCGTCGTCGTCGTCGTCGTCTTCATGTTCTTCCGTGAGATCGATGGGCCGGAAATCTTGCCTTCTGTTTGGCGAGCGTGAGCGTGAGCGTGAGGGACCAAGGCCGGAACGAACGTCTGCCCGTCCGCCCGTGCGGTATGGGCCGGACATCTTGGAACTAGGCACAATAGCGTTGTGTAGCTCGTTTCCGCGATGCCGTTTTTTTTTTTCTTCCCTTTTTTCGCTTCGTTTTTTGGACTATGGGTGAGATGTCGCAAGCTGCACACACTAGGGGTCCGAGGGGGCGCATTATACAATGAAAAAAATCCCATTGTTCTGTTGTTGTGGGTGCTGAATAGCATTCCTGGCGCTGGAATGCAGTTGTGGAATGTGAAATATGAGGGGGGCCATCTCGCTTAGCGGCTTTGTTTACTTGGTGAGAAGCGAGATTTTTGAGACGAGGTAGGTCTGTAGCAGATTTGGATTAGGAGGGGGGGAGCGGGGGGGAGGGCTTTTTGGTTTCTCTGAATCTTGAGAAATCAATCACGTTGATGCCATGAAATCGGGAGACATTGGATATGAAAAATGAATGGGTGATGGTTTTGGGAAATGATGAGACGTATGCAGGACCTCATAAGTCACTTGACGTTGAGCTAGTTGTCTTCGGCCAGGGTTAAATACAGGCAACTGTCTACATGCTTACAGTAAATATGTGTATATAATTGGGGGTTTATTGAACATTTCTCGATTTTGGAAATTGAAAAGAAGACTCCATCCGAATTGCTTGCCAAAAGCCGACTTATCTTCGACAGCAGAATCCGAGGTTTGCATCATTACTTCAAGGCACGAAGCAGAACGCTTTGAGATCTTTGTTTCAGCGAGATAGGAATACAATACGCTGTGCTGTGACGACCGTTCCGCCGCCTGAAAAAAAAAATTCTCAGCTTGCAGCCAGGAACCACGGATGCTATTCCCGCATTGCACTCCGACGCCCGTGAGACGATTTTATACGCTGGTTTTTGCCCGGTATGACTAATTAGAATGGTGGGTACAAGTCAACTCCGACTGCTAATGCATAGATAGATGAAGTTCTATTTCGCACCAGAACTCGTACTACATTCGACAGCTTGAACTCTCTCCATCCAACCATAAGCTTCAAAAGGTAAATACAAATCGAAACTCTTTTAGTGGAAAGGAATAGCTTGCATTTATAAGACGGTTTTTTTAATACTGATTGTTCAATAGGATTAGTTAAAGTAGAAGTATACTTACTGTACTGTGAAAAGTCTGCTTTCGCTTAGCTTTAATCGTACCCCTGATCGGGAGTACAGGTCAGAGGCCAGGGTTGCGGTTCCTAGTAGTGTGATAGAGTCAATGTTCAGTAATACTGCCATCGTGATAATAGTAAGCTGATCCGTACGTAGCCCGCTGGAGAAGCACAGTGGCTTCTTATGACACACTTCAACTTCAAGGAACGTGCCAGCGCACCTCACAGTAGTTATTGAGTTGTTAAGTCCGAGTGCAGGTGTTGATGCCCCGGAGCTACAGTATATGGGCTGGTAGAAGTGATTGTTAGATATAAGCTTGTCCGCCCATTTAAGCAATGCGACAAAAGAATCAGCGGAAAACGCAGACGCGATTTCGTATCCGCGATCCGAAACCTAGTGAACATCATGCCTGCCTCCTACCTCTTCGACGCCTGGGAGATGAAGTAGGTAGCTCACCTCCTCGAATGGGTAACATTGCCCCCGCGTTCTCCGGTCCAGCGTCTTGCCAGCCGTTTTCGTGGGATTCCTCGACTAAGGCCCTCACATCGGTATGATATTAGCGCTCCAAGCGGCAGGTACAGTAATCAGAGCCATGGTATCGAGCATGAAATCAGGGGCGGAGTCGCAGGCCTCTCAGTCTCGCCGCCATGATAAAAGCACCCGAACGGCGGTCCAGCATAGTACCTTTTCATAACCCGCTGCGGTGGAGATTTTCAGGCGAAGAGCTTTCGCGCTTGTACGAATCCTGTCGGGTCACGGGGGTGATTCACGGCATCTCTGCCATTTTCCCGATTCCGAATCCGTACGCGGTCCTGGAGGAGCTGGTTCGAAAATCGAAACACGCAATCGAGAAGGCAGACATGGAGAATTCAGGAGCCGTAGACTCGCAGTGCAAGACTTGATTGGAACTTGGTCACGGGCGGTGTGTGGCAGCAATGTACAAGCTGGATGGCTGGTACGCTATTGCACAGCTGATAAACCGGGCGAAGGAAAGGGGTGTGTGGGGGGGGAGACAATATCGAGAGTAGACTACGAGGGCTTTCTGTGGCTAGACAGTAGTGTATATGGACCCGGAGGATGGGATTGGTAAAGCTGAATTAATAACTAGCGGCACCCGCATTGAAAATTTTCAAGTGACATTCAATCCTATCTATCTTCTCTCACCTTCGACTTCGCCGATCTGCCGGGTCCAGGCAAGCAAGCCGAAAACCCGACCGGTTTCCGACCCAAGTGTGCTGTACACATAACGAGCTAAACGAGTGGCTTCCATATAAGTTGATGCGCATGGCCTAGTGGTCATGCAATGCTCTTGGACCGTGGGCTAAATTGGCAAGCAGGCGTAGGGTAAAATCCCATCAACGTGCCGACTTCAAACAAATCAGTTCGCCTGGTTGTTCTAGGGGGGTTTCGTATTCCACCGATTCCCCCTGAGTTTTTTGCCATTTTGCCAACATTTAAGTTAAAATTTCTCCTCAAATTTGTGTGTGTGCACAAAATCTTCCTTCTCCGATTATTTTTGGCTCCTTTTTTTTTATTGTTGTTGCCGTCGGCGCTGGGCTAGGGTCGTAAGCGAGATGGAAACCCGCCAACAACAGCATTCCTAGGCAATGACGATTCGAGAAATGTGGACAACTCTACCTCTCATGTAGCTCAAAAGAATCCCGCCCTCGCCCAAAAAGAGGAAGGGAACAGTAATTTTAGATTATTGGTATTAGAGCCTAGCATTTCAGAGCATATCAGTACAGGAAGTCCCAGAATCGCAGCCTGTATTTGATTCCTGTCTAGTGTTTTTTTTTTTCATATGCTATTGTAGCAGTGAAATCTGACCAGTTCTCTGCCGCGTTGATTCTGCGCGACTCCATCATCGATGCTCACAGAATTTAAAGAATCAAAACAAAGCCCCTTTTCTCTCGCTTCGCGGAAAGCTGCAGATCCCGATGGACGCGATGCCGCTAAGAGGCCCAGAGGCCCAGAGGTGGGGGTGGGGTTCAGAGAGAGCTCCTCCAACAAAACAAACCGCACCGCGACCTCGAAAATGACGACTCCCCACCGCCTCCAACCTGGCCCTTTTCCTTTTCATCCCAGCCAACCCGTATGCCACTCTCTCGAGCCTTCACGATTCTCTCCCGCACACTCCCGACGCTGCGAACTGTGCATCGACCACCCTTCAATCCAAGCCGCAACCCTAACATCCGCATCAGCGTCAGAACCATGGCGTCTGCAGCAATGAGCAAACGCCTCGAAGGCAAGACCATTGTCATTACCGGCGCATCATCCGGCATTGGACGAGCTACCGCGGTCGAGTTCGCGCGTACGGCGCCCAAGAATCTGCGGTTGGTCTTGACGGCGAGGAGGATCGATGCGTTGAAGGAGGTCAAGGCGGAGATTGAGAGGGATGTCGGCGAGGGCGTCAAGGTCCTACCGTTCAAGCTGGATGTCAGCAATCCGGAAGAGGTGCGGGCATTCGTGGGCCATCTGCCGGAGGAGTGGAGGGAGATCGATGTTTTGGTTAATAATGCGTGAGTTGCCGTTTTTCGCTGCCGTGTGGGATTAGTGGGTTGGGTGCTGATTATCGATGGATGGGATTGCAGTGGGCTGGTGAAGGGCGTTGCCAAAGCTCCGGAAATTGCAGAGCAGGATATCAAGGTCATGTTCGATACGAACGTCACTGGCCTCATCAACATGACACAGGCTGTTCTACCAATCTTTAAGAAGAGGGCGGACGGAGGGGCGGGAGATATTATCAATATTGGGAGTATCGCTGGTCGCGAGGCTTACCAGGGAGGAAGCATATATTGTGCGACAAAGGCAGCTATCCGAAGCTTTACTGACAGCTTGAGGAAGGAGTTAATCGCTACCAGAATCAGGATTATCGAGGTTGATCCAGGACAGGTCGAGACGGTATGTTCAGGCGGGCCAGGAGAGGAGAGTAAGTAGGGTTTCGAGGCTAATGATCCATTTGGCTAGGAATTCTCTGTTGTCAGATTCTACGGAGACAAGGCCAAGGCTGATGCTGTCTATGCGTAAGTTCCTCCGGCCGAGATCTAGGTTCGTTGAATAGAGGGCTGATCGAAAAACAGTGGCTGCGAGCCTTTGACTCCAGAGGATATCGCGGAAGTTATCGTCTTCGCTGCTGGGCGTCGGGAGAACGTCGTACTCGCTGACACCCTGATCTTTCCCAACCACCAGGTAAGCCGCCTCCCTCTCATCTCTGACTAGCTGCTAATTTGCAAGGCTGCCGCTACTGTTATGCATAAGAAGTCGTAGAAGCCCTGGCGAAATTCAGCAAGCGGACACTGGCAGCGCGATGTACAAGAAGTAGAGGCAGATAGATGGACGGATAGGTAAATAGTCTCTGCCTTTAGAGGGGAGTTTTCTATACACTAGACCTGCACTGTAGCTTCACAGCCTGTCCGGTCCTGTTTTGGATCGAGTTTTGTCGATCCTTTAATTTTCCGTCGTTGGAAAATTTCATGCTCTTGAGGTGGTAAGTCTCGGATCAATGCCCAAGCAGCAAGCAAGCGTTCCTTGGTCGGGCTTGCGACGCATGCATATACATATTGATCACAGCAATGAAGTTTTTTTTTTTAAAAAAAAAAAGCGGAGAAGAAAAAATCCAGCCGCATAGATCTCTCTCTTTTCCTTTGTTACCGTCTTCCTCGGGCGAATCATGATCTCAGCAGCGCAGCCAGGGGGTCACCTGCCCGCCCAACTGTCAAAAAAGCTTTTTCGTATTTCGGGGTTTGGGGAGGAGAGAGACAGAGAAGACTACAAGACTAAGACCAAGGAGAATTCTGTGGTTCTGTAATAATGGAACTCACGTCTTCTCTGCTCTTCTCTTCTCGTTTCTGTTGGTATACAGATAGGTGAAGGAAGGAGTAGTCTAACCCCCCAACCCCAGCCCCCAAAAAGACCATAGGCTAGGTATTCATGCTTTACTGCGTAGGTCTATTTGATTTCCATCTAATCTAATCTAATATAATCTAATCAGATCTAGTCATGAATGAGTAATCAGTCAATCTTCAGGTTCACTCACTCACTCACTCCTCCAACCACTCCTCCACTTTGCTTATACTTGCACTTGCCTGCTTGTACTCCCAATTTCACTTTCAAACTGACGGTGGGACTTGACGTCGCGACTTTAGGGGCTTTCAAAGATCCATCGTCTTGTATTGCTTGCTATTTTGGTATCGATTTTGATTTTGCTCTGCTTTGCTCTGCTCTTCTTTCCTCTCCTCTCAAGGATCCCACCCACATCCACATGTCCAACACCCCCCCAATACATACGCACCCTCCAATGCAAAAGCAAAAGAGGAGCAGAGCAGACCAGAGCAGACCAGAGCAGAAGGGGAAAAAAAAGCAAAAACACCCTGCTTGCAGCCCGCAGAAAAAGAGCCCGCAAACCGAGTCTCCAAAAAAAATATTGAGTCTTTTAGACACCCTGAACTATTCCCCCGCCTCGAGTTTCAGATCCATAACCCCCTCGAGATTCCTTTTATTTTATCTAGGCTCGTGGCCCACGTGGCACATACTCTTCCCGAAGATCGTAGCAATAGTAACCCCCCCCCCCCCCAAATCTAGAAAGAGTGCAACAGGTTCAAAATCTGACTCTTCAACATCTGCGTCCTGTTCATGCCATTGCCGGAGATCATGCTCATCTGGTTGACTCCTGGAGCGGTGGTTCCGCTGTGTCCATCCTGAGGAACAAGCCCCACCATGGGCTTCGCGCACTTCTTCTAATGCCACTGTCTAGGCTTGTCGTTTCGTGGCTCCGGAGTTGTTTCGGCCTTCAAAATACTCCACGAAGCTTGCTGCTTGTCCGAGGCTTCTCTCGGGGCGGTGGATCTGGGGGTATCCCACGAAGCCTGCTGATTCTCCGAGACTTTTTGTCTCGGGACCGTGGCCTTGGAAGTAGACCACGAAGCTTGCTGCTTCTCCTTCTCCGAAGCTCGTCCAAGTTTGATGTTCTCCTGGCCAACGTTCTGCGAACTCGATACCTTCCCCTCTACTCCCTGTTCCGGCTTGGTGTTTTCGGGCTCAGGAAGCAAAGCCGCGCCAATACTGGCCGCTGCTTTCTTTCGGTCAAACTCCAACCGCTCAGCCTCCCAAATCGTGAATATGTGCTGTCTATGCTTCTCCTTCAGTGGTAATTCTTGCTCGGCTTGGGCATTTCGTTCCTCTGCAGGCTTCTTGCTAACCAATGGCTTGAGTTCAGGCTTATTACCCAATTGGTGATTTCGTTGGGTGGCGGCTGTCTCCTGAGTAGCCGGCTGAACACCCGAGGTAGAATTTGGGATGAGCTTTGGATCCGGCTGGTAGTTTCTCTTGCCTCTCGGCTTGTACTTCTTGTACCCCGTCATCATAGCTGCATCCTGCACCGACATTTCCTGATTGGCATGTCGATAGTATCCACTTCAAAGAATTAGCCGAGCATCACAAAAAACAGCCAGCGCAAACACATACCGAGGTAAATTTCCCAGTTCCTTTGAAATCGCTCTCGGAAAACTCTCCACATTCCAAGCCTTCACGCCAGCCACAGGTTTTCCATAGGCACTTGGCAAGTCCGTAGTGTGAGGATCAAGATAGTCCAACCAGGTAAACTTAGTGAACATAGCTCTCACTGTCGCCCACTCATGCCTTTCTCCCATCTGTTTCGGGGTCTGCGCGTATGCTGTACGCAGGTTGAGGTCTGCCTCAAAGTTTGACAGGGTGCGCAGTGTTCTCATGACTCCGCTTTTTCGCTCCATCAGTGTCTGGGTGAGAAGCTCGTGCAAGGGTGTTCGTCCGCAGGTGTCAACAGCGTTGACCTCTGCTCCCACTTCGAGAAGTTCGAAAACCAGGGCTTCCATACCGAACCGGCATGCGATGTGCAGAAGTGTAGACTTGTATTTCTCGTTGACAATCGGATTATTCACTTTCGATTTTCGCAGCAGATACACAGTCATATCCCACTGTTCGTGAGCAATTGCGTAGTAGAGAGGTGTGTAGCCGTCATCGTCAACCGGAGCCAGATATCTCGTACGTAGCATCACTGATCTGCCTGCGTTTATGAAACCATTCGCAGCAGCCAGATGCAGAGGCGTTTGACCACCATTCTCGCAGCAGCTGACCGAATTCCAGCACTTGAAGTCGCATTGGTGGGATTGCGATGTCGCTGTTCTGCAATTGATATCTGCGCCGTAGAGCTGCAGAACCGCGGCAGTGTCGATGATCATCTGCTCCCAGACTCGAGGGTGCTCAGATGTTGGACGAGCTCGGTACAGGAACCCATGGAGCTCAGAGAAGTGGCCCCATCTTGGTTTCTTCGCGAGCGTGGTGTGGATAGGGGACTGTCCGGATTGGCTTTTGGCGTTGGAATCAGCACCTCGAGCAAGAAGGAATTCGGTGGTCCGGGGCAATGCGTAACTGCAGGAGGTACGGAGAGCTGCATCGAGCTCTTGCTGGGTGATAACTTGGTGGGTACCCAGCGCGAGGGCAAGACAGGTGAGGTCCGGGTACTCGCTGGCTTCTTGCATGAGATCGGCACCATACTTCATCAGATGCTGTGCAACGTTGGGGGCGTCCATGAGGAGGGAGAAGTGCAAGAATGTGACTTTCTTATTCTTGACGAAGTAGGACTCCATCATCAAACTGGGGACGTCAGTCAGTCTACCGTCCAGGAATTTAGATGGGAACATATCTTACCCTTTGAGGTCAATCAGATCAGTATAGGTCGTGAGTTGCCGAATGAGGTTGATCTGGTTGTGCACGATGGACCAGAGGAAGATCTCAAACAGCGCACGCTCAATATTGTTCTCGCTCCAGGTGTTCACGGCTCGGGTGATGTATCTTTCGAAGATTGCGGGTAAGACGAGGTAATTGAAGCGACGGTTGACACGATAAAGCGTGAGGATATCCGTGATACTCTCTGTGTGTTTGACGATATTAAGCACTAACTCTGTAGGTAGGGTGCTGAAGCTGGCCGATGGAGTTGGAGGCGCCATGATGAGGTGGTGAGGGGTGGCCGGAGAAACGACTTAGGTTTGTGGAAAAGAAATGGAGTGGGTGAGGAAAGGTTGTGAGGTTGTGAGGTCGAGATGTCGAGATCTTAGTAGGTTGCAAGCTCGAGAGGTTGCGAGGTGCAGTCGAAGTCAGGAGGTTGACGAGATTTTATCTCACGTGGCCGGGGCCCGGGGAAGCGAAGTTTTTTTTTCACCCCCTTTTCAAAGGTGAATTCCAAGGTGAATGTGCGAGTCGGTACTCGGGGTGCCGAAAATCTCGGTCGTTCCAGGACGGGTAGGAACTCGCTCGTTGAAACTTTTTTCAAGGGCCGTGAAAATGTCCAAATGATACACACTCTGGCCCGTCTGGACTTCGCAGCAGAATGTGCGTGAAGTAAACCGTGTGGAGAAAAAGACTGACCTCGAGGGCTTGCTGTACGTATGTAGCAGGTACTACGCGGGGCCGAGGTGTGTCTTGTCGTGCGCGTACCAGTTTGTATTGGAGGAAGGAAGGAAAGAAGGAGAGAAGGAGAGAAGGAGAGAAGGAGAGAAGGCGGATGTTGTTCTCGATGTGTGGTGGATTGTGATTGAGAAGGAAGGGATGGAGGAAGAGCGAAGAGGAGAGGAGGGTGTTAAGTGCTGAAGGCTTGGTATTGTGGGTGGCTGTAAGTATTGTCCCTCGACTTGATATTGTATTTTCTAGCGCGCGAGACGCGCTCGCTTAAGTCAAACGCGACGTCAATTCCACAATCACTCGCTCGCCTTCCATCACTGCACTACCACCGGGGTCCGGGCTTTCAATTCACCCTGGCATAGCGTTTGATACTCTCGTCAATGAAGAGTATTCTTTGTCTCATTACAAGCATGAGTCAGCCGGTCTCCGAATGGATCCATGGTCATATATATCGCAGTGACTCGAAAGGCTCGATGCGGTCATTCAACACGCGAGGGCAGCAGCAGCAGCAGGGAATAATCCTACCTACCTACCCATTCATCGACACCTTTCAGCCCAAGTGAAGCAGATCCCCCCATTCATTACCCTCAAGCGTGGATCAACTAGGTCGAATAAATCACCGGGACTGATATACGAGCACGCCTCGTCGGAAAGATATCTGACCGATCAGAAGAGATTCGTCACTACCTTCCTTCTCTACAGGCAGGTGAAGGAAGCCTCAGTATCGGCGGGCTGTAACCAGATCAGCGCAGACGATGCATATAACGCCAAAACGTATACGCATGCTCCGTCGCCTCGGACTCTGCAGGAGAGAAGGACGAGCTCAGGCTACAGGTAGAAGAAGCTACGAGTACTGCTTCTCTGCCCGTACAAAAACCATCACTCTCAAAACACACACACACACAAGACAACCAACGCTAAGCCAACTCGGACAGCGAAAACGAACAGCAGCTTTCGAGGTCCTCAATACCATGCATCTGCGGAAGAGGAGACTGCCAAGTTGCAGCGGCAGGAATGAGTAATTCCACCCACCCATCCATCCATTCATCGCCCCTCGTCGAGATTCTCCAGCAAGGCGGCGTGCAGAAGGGGAGCTTTGCAGTTGCGTCTATACCATCCACCTTCAGGAATGATATATATATATATATATATATTATATATAAAAATAAATATATATCCGCTAGTTACTACGCCAAGAGCCACCCACCCAATGGAGCCGCCCTCCCACGCTCGTTACTTAGCACAGCGGTGCAGAAGAGTGGGTGCGCGCGCGTGCGCTATTATTGGTCTACTGATGTCACCGATGTCACCGATTTCAGTCGCCGATGTCAGTCAGTATTCGAAT